CCAGGCTCATAACATCTGTCTTTTATCGTCACCTTTATCAGGTTAGCCAGGCCGGGCTGTGTTAGGCAGTGATTCTCTCAGTCTCCCTCAAATTCTATTCCTAGACCTTGGTTCCTGTTAGTAATAAATTAATCCTCAACCCAAGCGGCCCAGGAGCGGCCCAGGGGCTCCAGGTGCAAGTGGAGAGAACACAGGCGGCGGTCCAGGCCCCAGCGGCCTGTGCGTTGGCAGATGACAGGGCCTTAGAGCAGGCCACGCAGACTGAGTGCTCTGCATTCCTCGATCCATTTCCAACCTGGACCATATACAGCCTCCATCATGAGACCGCACAGATTTTGTTCTCTTTGCACTGCCCTTTCTTACCGCTTTCTAACACCCGCCCCACCCCCGCCTGCTTCTTATCTTTCCATTCCTCCATTCCTGTCTACAATATCCTTAACCCACTCACCTCAACGTGTCCCACGTACATATCATTTCATTCACATATTTCCATCAAAGTACTGTTACTATTAATTCTCAGTCTGACGCAGCCCCAGAATCATCTATAATAATAGAAGTGTAATATGCTGATTAGACCAGACAGCTATACGACCTTCCAGACGTGATTCCGGACGTCCTTCTGGATGAAGCCACAGCAGCGGAGGACTAGGCAGATGCGGTCAGTGGCAATCAGGCAGGCAGGCAAGCAGTTAGGGGCGATCTGGCAGGCAGGCAGGCAGACAGGCAAGTGGTTAGGAGCCAGCAGTCCCAGATTGCGAGAAGAATGTCCAACTGGCAGTCAGACATCCCCCAAGGAATCCCAGATTGCGAGGGGGTGCAGGCTGGGCTAAGGAGACTCCCCCCGCCCCACCCCGTGTTCTCTTCACGTGCACCTGAAGCCCCCGAGGATCAAACGTTTCTGGACACCTGCTACACCAGGACCACCCCCCCCCCCCCCCCGTGTTCTCTTCATGTGCACCTGAAGCCCCCGAGGATCAAACATTTCTGGACACCTGCTGCACCAGGACACTCTACCAACTCCAAGAGACGTAGCAGCTCTGCCTAATGCATAGAAACAAACACAGAGAAGCAGCCAAAACGCGGAGACAAAGAAACATGTCACAAGTGAAAGAAAGGGAAGAAATTTCCAGCAAGAGAGATAAGTGAAATGGAAGCAAGCAAACTACTGGATACAAAGTTCAAAACGATGGTTGTAAGGTTGCTCAGGGACCTTCATGAGAGCTTCAAGGGACTCAAAGGGGGTTTCAGGGAACTTAGTGAGACTCTCAAGGATCATAGTGAGAATTTTAAAGACATGAAAAGGGGCCAGTCAGAAATCTAGCATACACTAACTGAAACAAAGAACAATTTACAGGGATTCAACAGTAGAGCAGAGGATTCCGAGAATCAAATCAATAATTTGGAATATGAGGAAGCAAAAATAAATAAATAAATCAGCCTGGCCCGTGTGGCTCAGTGGTTGAGTGTCAACCTATGAACCAGGAGATCACAATTCGATTCCCAGTCAGAGCATATGCCCGGGTTGAGGGCTCGATCCCAGTGGGGTGTGTGTGTGTGTGTGTGTGTGTGTGTGTGTGTGCAGGAGGCAGCCAATCAATGATTCTCTCTCATCATTGATGTTTCTATTTCTCTCTCCCTCTCCCTTCCTCTCTGAAATCAATAAAATTCCTAGTCCAGGCACATGCC